CCATCGACGGGATATCAGAATACCTGACCACCAAGAAACAAGTCCAACGACCGACTGGTCGCTTTGTCGCCCTGTCCAGTTTTATCTTGAGGTCATCCGACAGATGCCAAAGATTCTTCAATGTACTCAAAAAAGACAACGGCCTCGAATGGACGCGTGAGTGCAAACAAACACTGAAGGAGCTCAAGGAATACCTATCATTACCACCCTTACTCTTAAAGCCTGAGCCCGAAGAATTTCTCCTCGTCTACCTCACCGTTTCAGAGGTAGCATAAGTGTCGCACTGGTCCGAGAAGACAAATGTGTGCAATCTACAATTTACTATATCAGTAAGACACTTATTGACGTCGAGATGAGGTACACTCACCTCGAGAAATTGGCCATGGCCCTTGTCACAACTTCAAGAAAGTTCAGACCTTATTTCCAATGCCATCCCTTCTCAGTCGTCACCACGTTCCATTTGAGGAGCATACTGTATAAACCCGAACTGTTGAGGAGGATGGCTAAATGGGCAAGAGAGTTAAGTGAGCACGACATCACTTACCATCCTCGCATATCCATAAAATCACAAGTACTCGCTGACTTCGTCGCAACTTTTAGCACCAAGGTAATGCCCAAGGCTGAAAAGGAAGCCACACAAGCTTCCAGCCGAACGCAAGACCTTCGGGTCTTGCACACCGATGATGTGTCCAATTCATGCGGGTCTGGACTGGGACTCATGCTTGAAGTCCCCATCGACGAATTATAATCTATAGGGTGCCAATGACTAATAATGAGACAGAGTATGAGGCAGTAATTGTAGGACTGAGGCTAGTAATCGAATATGGGGCGAGGCACCTAAGACTACGCTGTGACTCCCAGTTCATAGTCAACCAAATTTACTAGGACTTTCTAGATCAAAGAGCAGATGTTACAGAAATACTAGACCGAGATCTGCAAACTGTTACCCAAATTTGATGACTACCAGCTCTCCCAGATTCTACAAACCCAAAACGTCGAGGCGGATGACCTCGCAAAATTGGTCGCCGCAACAAAAAACATAACCAATGGGGACAAAAATATGGTGCATCTCCCCAGCTCAGCCTTAGATCACGTCGACATAAAATCTATAAACTTAACCCGGGACTGGATCAATTGCATTATAAATTACTTCGAGGATGGTTTTCTCCTAAATGACAAAAAAAAATCCAGGAAGGTGAGAATGCAAGCGACAATAACCTCATCAACAACAAATTGTATAAAAGGATGTATGGGGGCCCTTGGCATAATGCTTAGGCCCAATCCAGACTCAACACATCCTCGAGAAAGTCCATGAAGGTCATTGTGACAGTCAGTTCGGTGATCGAGCACTTGTTAGATACCTCATACCTGCAGGATACTATAGGCCCACCATGAATAAAGACGCTTTGAAATTCGTAAAGAAGTGCAAACAGTGCCAGAAGAGCGCCCCAATAATCCAACAAGCAGGCGAACACCTCCATTCTGTTACCTCGCCATGGCCGTTCATCAAATAGGGGATGGACATCGTGGGAATACTCCCGCCGGGATGAGGTTACGTTAAATTCCTTTTAATTTTGACTGACTACTTCTCTAAATGGGTGGAAGCAAGCACATTTCCCCAAATTTGTGAGCAAGAAGTAATCAACTTTATCTGGAAGAATGTCATCTGCCGATTTGGCCTGCCCAAGGAAATAAGATGCGACAATGGACCCTAGTTTACAGAGAGGAAAATCACCGAATTTTTCAAGAAGTGCATATCAAAAGAATACTCTCAACCCCGTACCATCCAGCTGGCAACACGCAAGAAGATTCCTCCAACAAGTCAATTTTGAATATCATGAAGAAAAGACTCAAAGATGCTAAGGGATTGTAGCTCGAAACACTCACAGGAGTATCGTGGGCACACAGGACAACCCAAAAAACAAGCACGGGAGAAACACCTTACTCCATAGTCTATGATTCTGAAGCAGTCATACTAGTCAAAGTGGGAGAACCCAGCCTAAGGTACACCAACGAGAGTAGCAATGACAATGATGAGAGCAGAAGATAGGATCTTGACGAAATCGAAGAACGAAGAGACATGGCGTATGTAAGAATGGTCGCATAGAAATGACAAGCAGACCGCTACTATAACAGAAAAGCCGGGGAATACGTGCTCAAGGCCAAGACCCAAGCAGGAAGAGACTCTCTAGAAGGGAAATTAGGAGCCAATTGGGACGGACCGTACAAAATCGTAGGCAAGGCAGACAAGGGGTCATTCCAACTGGAGACATTGGAAGGAAAGATACTACTAAACAATTAGAATATCAGCAACCTCAAGTAATTCAACTTCTGAAAAATAAGGAATGCTCCGTAAGTTGTACTCTTTTTCCCTCACTTGAGTTTTGTCCCACGGGTTTTCTCAAGGAGGGTTTAACAAGCAAACGGGTGGGGCATTTCGAGGTTGAGTATGTGGGGATGGCCGCATTTCATTGCCCCACTCCTCAAGAATCTCCAAATCGAACAATGAAGGGACTAGATGCACTGGGATTGAAAGGCTAGCCAACACCCAAAATATGTAATTTTCTCAAAAAATGCCTTAGGGCGAAGTGATGTAATCAACACAATGTGATTGAAATGAATGAGATACCTGTTTGTTAGAACTGTTCTCCTAAGTCTCTCAATTAAGATGTACGTTCGACCAACTCGAAAAAACTCCTCGGAGCTTGGCCACGTCTCATCTAAGAAGACGTACGTTCGACCAACTCGAACAAAACTCCTCGGCCCTTCGCCATATCTCAATTAAGAGGATGTACGCTCGACCAGCTCGAACAAAAACTCCTCGGCCCTTGGCCACGTCTCAACTAAGAAGACGTACGTTCAACCAGCTCGAATAAAACTCCTCGTCCCTTGGCCACATCTCAATTATGAGGACGTATGCTCGACCAAATCGAACAAAAACTCCTGGGCCCTTGACCATATCCCAGTTGAGAGGACGTACATTCGACCCGTTCAAACAAAACTCCTCGGCCCATGGCCACTCTACACCTACACAAAGGGCACTCACTCAAACCATTTGACTAGAATTCCTTGGCCCCACAACCATCACAACCCAAGAAGTAACAACAAAAAGGAAAGAAATACATAAGTACATCCAAAACCACAAAGACGAAAGAAAAAAGCTATTTAAAAGCACACAACCACTGAACAAAAAATATGCAAGGATAGAAAAGGTAGGCATCAAACAAAAGTTAACTTTAACATTTAGATAAGATTCTTTACAAAGGCGCATGAAGACGCCAACAAAAAAGGAAAGAATAGTACAAGGGGCTAAACAAAATTAAGCACGGAACACCTAAAATCTGCCTTCGCCTTGATCTCTGCCACCTGCTTCATCATGATCTCGACCAAAAGCAGAGTCACACGAGGCGCTATCTTCAAGATCAGGAAGATCTTCTTCTCCATCACCCTCTGAGTCATGCTGAGGGGTGTCAGGGTTGTAACCGCAAGACAATCGGGCATCACGAGCTTTTATTCGAGCCTCCTCCAAGGTAGTTTCATAAACGAAGCCCGTCTGGCCCAAATCTCAGATCACTTCTACCTGAGCCTCAACAAGAATCCACTCTTCGTACTGTTCTCATGGAATGGGCTGGAACTCAAAGGCACGTGATGTCACGACCCAAACCGTAGGGCCACGACAGGCACCCAGTGCCTAATTCAATCGAGTACTAACGTAACGTATCCTTCTTATCATATTATCATTGGTAAATGAACCAGAAATGCCGTCATGAGATAACTAGAATTAAACATAAGAGAATACTCGATATGGGATGGCCCAACATGATATAGAAGCTTATGCATGTGACATATGGGCCTATAAAGCCGACATGATCATTTGTATACTCAAACCTTAGGCCGACAAGGCCATATAAGTATTCATATACATGACATCTGTCTACAAGCCTCTACGAGTACATACATATCATAAAGTTCGAGATATGGCCCCGCCATACCAATTAATACATGTCCAAATCATACTGACCAAATAGGCAGCTCGGGAGCAAGTGGAGTGCACCAACACCTTCTGCTGAGCTGATAACCTACTTGGAGGACTCTCAGCCTATCTATCGGGACCTGCAGGCATGAAACGCAACGTCCCCAAGCAAAAGGGAAGTCAGTACAAATAAATTACCGAGTATGTAAGGCATGACAATAGTATATAAAAGACATGAAAGAAACATGGAGTAAAGAACTCAACCTGTAATTTTGAATAACTCTATAAATCATGAAATTTTTTTAATGTCATGCATGTGCGTATAAATGCCATACCATGCATAGGTATATGCGTACATAACATCATAAAGCCTCTAAAGGGATCCTATCATATCATCTCAGCCACTGTGGGCGAAATCATCAACGTATACCAGCTGATCAGGTGGTGGTGCGTATATAACGCCATAACCTTTTTCCATATCCCATATACATATAATATATGCATATATAGAGCTATCCGGTCATGGGTCAATGTACATGTATAAATAAATGCAATACCTAATGAAGTAAGTCAGTAAGATTTCTCGGAATGTCATAAGATCAATATGCCTTCGGATAAACTTTAGCAACTTATGTATTTTTCTAATACCCATGAACAGAAGATATAATAATATGACACATTGGGAATCAAGAACATAGGCACCCCTAGTACTTCTATGAATAGAGTCATTTATGAAAGTTCCGCGTTTGCATATTTCGTTTGTATCATATGGATCATGCCAAAAGGAAAGAATGGATAGACTTAGCATACCTTAAATCCATTGAGTCCTTAATACCTTACAATCAATTCTTCAAACAACTCAACTCAATCTACCATAGCATAAGGAGATTCAAAATCAGTGTTGAGTAAATGATAAGTCTGCAACTTAAACTAGTAGCTCGTTTATGTAAATTTGGGCAGCATCTCCCCTATAACAAGAGCCTCCTCCAATACCATATACCAACAACAATGACAATGACCAGATAAATCCAGCAATACATAATTATCAATAACAAGACACCATATAATAACAACAAGTCACAACTACTTCACGACGAGCTACAAGTCCAATTGGAATATATATACCCCACATCACCCTTTATAGACTTCTTACTTTAACTTACTAGTATCATTAACATGATAATGAAGTCATTCATCAATGATTCCAGCCTTATACCATATATTTCTAACAAAGAAAACAATCCACAACTCCAAGTATCTTTAATTAGCAATTTTATTCACTAGTTCATGTCTAGTCTATCCATTTAACTTAATCAATATCAAGATAACCTTAAGCACATCTAAGAACACAATATACATACCTAATACAGTATTTTAAAGAACAAATCTAAGTTATATTTATCTTACAACAACCCTCAATGGCAATACAACGCCATAGAAGTGACTTAAGCTAATCTTCACTACCAATCTCAAGTTTCATATGCTTCTTTCACCAATTCACTTGATAAACATATAGACATTCATAACAATAGAAACCATATCATAATCAAGTTATTTTTCCCATTTTTCAGCCATTTATAGTTCTTGGAAACAACCTTTCCAAAACAGTCCATTAAAACCCATAACATCTCAAACTATTTCAAGTCTCCTCTTGTAGTATTTTGCTCAAATAATGTAACCAACACACAAACAAATTCAAGTACATATAGTAGGATTTTATACTCACCTTAAAAAGTATAAACAACACGAAATTTCAGCCAAGCACATCCCTCAACTATTCTCAATAACACCACAACACTATAGGTATTGTATTCTCTTCTTGAATCAACTTTTGGTGTTCAAGTTGGTGTGTAAACACTTGTAGTTCGCCTTGAAAATCTAATATATATGAAGAAGGGACTGATTATTACCTTAATAAACAAGAACAACACGAAATCTGAGGTTACTTACCTTTGAAGAACCCTCCAAAATAGCCACAAGATGAAGAACTACGATCTAGCAAGCACCACGGGATTTCTAGCGTTGGATTCATGTCTTTATCTTAGGTTCTCACCCTAGAATTATGGAGGAACCATTGAAGAGCATTTAGGAACTGTTTTGGACCAGAAAAATGAGATAAAACTGTGGAGAATTGACTTAAATACAAGCTGAATTTTTTTCCCGACTTTGTGGGTCCCATGGGTGCTGCTTGTGCAGTCTCGCACAAACGCGAATATATCTCTCCTCCGATATCATATCGACAAAAAGTTAAATGTGTTATACAATAGACCTACAGACCTTCAATGTGGTATATAATATGTCCCCAAAAGACATCATAAGGGTTACGAAATGTATTACTTAAAAAGCTTCATTACAAGGAAAATCCTTAGTCGGTTTTTTCGCAACTTAAATCCGATTTTTCCCAAACTTTATATTTCATATCCAAACATCATATATAGTCATATCATGACTTTAAACTCATTTAAATCATGATTAACAAGTCTCATATTCATCTTAACTTAGTTAAGACTTCGGTAAACCTTTTTTTATCCTTGTAGAACGATTTCGTCCTTTTTGAGCTTACATTAGATAATCCTAATGACAGTGATGTCTAAAGTACGGGATGTAACAACATGTCCTCTTAGAAATATTTGTCCTTGAATGATAACTCTTAAAGGCTTGCGAAAATGGGACGTAACATCATTAAATCACTTTATATACTTTCAAAGATGATCTCATTTTCAAGCTTAAATCAATTGACTTACGACGTACTTTCACGTATAGAAACATGGGGTGTAACACGTGAAATGGAAGACCGTTCAAGCAACTCAACATTCTCATTCACCGCAGAAGAAGCTCGCTCATGCAATTTGGCATTCTCCTTCTCCAGTTCGCCAATCCTCTCCTCAAGCCGAGCCTATTTAGCATCAACCGTCGACTGAATGTTATCCCTATCAGCACAGAGACTTCTGTTTGCCAGCTTAAAAAGGGAAACTCTCCTCCGAGCTTGTCTCTAAGAAGACTACGCCTCTTCCAACAGTTTTTGCTTATCAACTACCTCCCTCCTGAGCCCATCCACTTTGAACTGACACTCATTCAACCGATCCTACAGCTGGTCGACCTAGCTCTAGAGATTGCGGCACTGAGCCTCATCGCCCCTACTTAGCTAAAGCTCCTCATCCTTCCTCTTCAACGTTTCTTTCAGGGCACTGAGCTGCTTCACAGATTCGAGCAACTCTTCGTCCTTCTTTTTCAGCTCCCCCCTCAGAACGGTCACATCACCCCCTCATGAAGCCTCCTCTTAGCCTCCTTGTACCGCCCTTGGTACTCCTCAAACTTCATCCTCATTTTGTAGTAAACCTGTTTCCGCCTATGATCTACGCACACTCTCGATCTCCAGGATAACGACCTACACGTAAAGGAAAATAGAGGAAATAAGGTAAGATTCAAAAGTGAACCAAAGCCAGAAAAAAAGTAAAATGACTTACCGTGAGAGCAAGGTCGAAAATGCTCTTAGATAGAGTGTTGTCACTCAACTCCTCAGGAATATGATGCTCCACATCGAAACAGAAAGGGCTGAAGGCCTGAATCACGACCTCAGTATTTTTAAGTAGGTCATGATATACCGGGATCATGATCGTCCTCGACCCTCCTTCTACTCTCACCTCAATTTGAGTCGTCCCGCTATCAATCATCTCACGCTCTTCAGGATCGAATTCAGAGTGAGACTCATCTCCAATGGACTCAACCCGCTCATCGCACTGCTCGACCGGCAGCTTGTCCTTTCCTTTATCAGTCGGGGAAGCCGCCTGAGCTTGTTCGGAAGACGGAGTCTCCTTGCACCAACGAAGTGCGGGATCATCGGAAGAGGCATTCATGACGGCCTCATTCCCTTCAAAATAACGGATCATCGTTATCATCTAGGGTCACACCTACATCCTCCATGACCAAAGTCGTCGCAACATCCTTCACCTCAGCCTCGAGGAAGGCTTCAGACAAGTCAACCACCGCTGGTATACTAGCTCCCCCATCTACGACCCTCCTCTTCTGGGGCCTCATATTTGTGCCGCGCGGGGAAACATCATCGTCCACATCCTGGGAAGAAGCCGGGGGGAAGAGCAAACACAATAGTCGAACCAGAGGCAGGAGTAAAGAAGGTGACATCACTCATTTACCTGAAAGAAGGTGTCGGCACCAGGTCCTTCTTGACAGCCTTCTTGGAAGGACCTATTAAGAAGCACAAAGTTAAACACAATAAGACCGACGAATCTGAATGCAACATCAACTAAATATGACGTACCCATATTACCTCTTGAGGGGGAATCAGTATGTATTTTTGCCAAAAGCTGGGCCAGTCCCGGATCCTTGCAGTATGAGGAAGGACCTGCTTGACCTAGTTAGCAAGGTGAGACACCAATTGGAGATTCTGAGCAGTAGCTCTAGAACAAGAAGGATCCAATCGCAAAATCAAACACACATGATCATAGAAAGGAACATGAGCGAGTAGAAACACTTACGGGCACAGTTCCAAGCCTCCGGGAAGTCCGTGACATCAGCCATAATGGACTCGATCTAGACAAAGAAGAAGTCAAGCCAAAACTACCGACTACCCTTGTCATCCATCTTAACGACCATGGATTTGCTTCCACGGTGGCGAACGTTCAACATAGTTCACCGGTAGAAGCTGTGCATATACAGGTGCACGATGTGCTGTAGAGTAATCTTGATGCCGGCCAACTTGACAAAATTAGATAGAATCTTGATTATTTTATACATCAAGGGCACGAGTTTGTTTGGACAAACTCGGTAATGGCGGCAAAATTCCTCCACCAAAGGGAAAGAGGAAAAGAATAGCCGATGGTGAAGAGGTAGGCGTACAAGGTATAGTACCCTGGACGGTGAGTGTACACATCATCATCGCCCACATGTACGAGCTCCACTTGGTCGGGAATGCTATATTCTGCCCTAAATTCTTCCAAACGCTTCGCCATTAAAGAAGACCGGAAAGCCTCAACCACCCCTCCGGCTGCCGTTGCAAGTCCGGTTTCGCGTCAGGATTGCGTGGAACTATATCATCCACCGAGGGAAGAACCTCTGCTTCAACAGCGGCGGCGTGTCTCCCCCGCAGATGGAGGACGTAACAACTAGTAGGGTGGTCAAAACCCCCTTATTCATATTGGGGTCATCTCCGCCATGAGCGCCGGAAAGAGAGCTAGACATGTTTACGAAGAAATAGAAAAGGGGTGAAAGAAAGTTAAGTAAATGAAAGAAATAATTAGTAATTAATCGGCAAAGCAAAGAGGTTTGAGAGAAAATGAAGAATAAATTCAAAATAGTGGTGATAAAAGGGAGGACCTCGGGATTCGAAGCGACTCATCAAGATGGCAGCCGCAATCAAAACAGCATAGCCAATCCAAAAGCTACGCGTGTTCTGACGTGAATAATTGGGTCACTATGATGCCTGACGTCACGTCTCAGCCACGTCAGGTTCCCTCCAAAGGTCACTCGGGAAAACCAAGACGACATATATTTGAAATATGTGTCTCTCATAACGCTACGTCGTCCGCCTCTGACGATGACCACATCCATCATTATCCGTTTATCCAACTTGTCCCTAAGGATGACCTCGACAAGCGGATGGACTAACTGTATGGGTAAAAACTTCATATGACATATTTGACCCGGTCAACTGTAATAAAGTCTACGACAGTGGTGGCGCGTCGAGATGACTCCAAAAGGTAGAGGTCAAAGGTGAAGGATAAAGCGGTGCCGAGGTCGAACTGGCTTGGCAGAAGACGAGGACGAGGACGAGCATCCATTCTTAGCTCGAAGGGATGGTTAACCTTAGAATTTAGATTCCCATGTGCCCTTATAAATAAGAATAGATGTAGATTAGAAAAGGGATTAGACTTTTTGTAAAGAATTTCACCAACATTCTGTGTACAAGATTCTCACTTTATTGAATAGAAACAAAGCATGACTTTACACTTTCCTTATTTTATCCCTCTTCTCCCGATCCAAGATTATTTATCACCATCCATCATTATCAGAAAGACATTCAAGGAACTCATCTTTGTCGTGTTATCTTTGTCTCATTTACTATTTGATAGTCATTTATTGTCATTTATTGTCCTCATTTATATTTTCATGTCATTATTGCTCCCTTATTATCCCAAGTTGTCGTCTTTAATGTTATACGTTAAATACTCGCCGTAAAATACTAGATCTATTTTTGGATATTAATATTGACTATGATTAATCCTATTTTTCAAAAAATCTAATTGTAAAAAACCAAAATCTATTTTTTGGGTCATACACCTATGTTGAATTGAATTTCTTTTGTTAATATTAGTATTAATTTGATTTTGGTTTGAACTTCATTTGAGTTACTAACATCTATGAGCTTTAAAACTTATGGCAAAATACAAGATTGGCCGGTCGATCAAAACAAATTACATTCGCTAGTCAAAAAGTAAATATGATATGTATATTTTTATATATAATATGCATATATACAAAAATATATATTTTACTGGCTATTATATTTTAGAGCGACAAAAAATTTATATTTCTCTAAAAATTATTGGACTATTCAAAAATTCTATGTCCAAACTTGAAATAATATGTTAAAAGACAAAAACTATGAAAAATGTAAGAAATAGTTATAAATTACATTACAAGAAATAATTTTAAAAATTGAATACATGTAATGCCGGGTTGGTTTAGTTTCAGTTTGACTTTATTTTTTAATATTTAAAACTATATCAAACCAATTGTGACCGAGTTATTTTTTCTTCAATACCAAATCAAATCAAATTGAATTTTTTTCAATTTAACTCGGATTATCAATTTAATGTGATTTGTTAATTTTCTCGGTACATTCCTATAAAGGATGTCATATGTTCTAGTAAGAAACGACATGTAAATACGTAATAGATTGGAACTATTTTTTTTTGGTTTCCCATCCGGTATTCGGTGTCCACATTGGAGCTCGACTATATCCGAATTTGCATTGCGTAGGACCCCATTCGAGGAGAAGCGCTCCCTACCAAGGATTTTTCCATACCCAGGGCTCGAACCCAAGACCTTTGGTTAAGGGAAGAATAGTCTCATTCACTGCACCACATCCTTTGGTGATAGATTGGAAACCTCTTGAAAATAAGGTAACGAGTAAAACTAGAAAATTGACATCTGTATACTAAAATCAGTAGCGGAACCAGAATTTTCGTTAAGGGGTGTTAAAATATATAAAAGTAAACATACCAGAAAATTAAGGGGAGTCAATACATAGTATATATACATATAATTTATTTTTTTTACCTAGTTACACATTGTATTTTTTTCGCGAAGGGATGTCATTTGACATCCCTTCCTATAAGGTGGCTCCTCCACTGACTAAAATTACCGACATATAAATTAAGTTTTGATAATAAACCAACATCACTTACATTGAATCTTCTTGAAAAATATATCTTTTTAGCCGCTTTAAAAAATAATAGCCGACAAAATATATATTTTATATATATAATACATATTTTTATATACTTTTTAGCTAGGGAATATAGTTAGTTTCGATCGACCGATCAATTTTTGTATTTCTCTCTTGAGTCTTGCGGAAGTTTCTCGGACAGAAGTTTGCTGGGGAAGCTGCCATTACTGAGATAAATATAGACGTTTGGTAATGTTTCACTTTGGCTAAAACTAACACGAAACCACATTACCACATGCATGTGCTGCCAGCCGTGAGTGTGGAAATCTTCTCGTTTGGGTTTGGAGCATATTGTGGGCAATGAATAGACATCTGACTGAAAGTTTGAAACATTTATCAATCCGTACCCTAATTAACTGATTTTATCGAAAAAATTATTTTTTGGGGTCAAGAGGTTAATAGCGAGATCTCGAATCAACTTATTAGTCTTATTGTATCTGTATTTATTTATAAATTTTAACTGGCGCTGGGTAATACTTGCGCTGGCTATTTAAGTGCACTATTTATTAATAAAAATATAATTTTTCAATTAAGCATATATGTATCATTGTTCTATCTACGAGTAATAATTAAGCAAATTTGACTAGATATAGTTTCTATACTATTGATTAGTATCTTCTCCGCGTATATATCCATTAGTATCTTCTCCGCGCATATATCCATGCAATAATTAATTGCTTTGGCTTGCATTGACTTGTTTTTTAGAACAAGAAGCATCAAATTGAATAGTGACACATCTCTCTATTTGATTAATCACAGATAAACTCAATTCCTTAAATTTTACAAGTTCAAATTCTCCAATTGCTCATATATATAGTGACATTAATTAAGATGCAAATTTAAGTTCATTAACGTTACTTTTGGTGACCTACATATGGTGCGATGCGCGACCAAAATTATTTATATTCGGTAGCCGTAAAAATATTTAAAATTTGTATAATTTTTGTATATAATACAGAAATGTATGTGTGTATTGTGTGTATATATATACACACACACATTTTTCGGTTATTATTTCAAGAACGGCTATATAGTGTCACTTTTTCTATATTTTACTTCAAGCAACTTACTTTTTCTTGTCTTAAATTCCAATAATTCCAACTGTTTTGCACCTAACTCAACTTTGAAATAATAATCATTTAGTCGATCAAACTGTCAAAAAAAAGTTACATTTATTCTATTACAATCAAAAAGTACCTTCAAGTGAAAAAGAAAATCTAGAAGAACAAATTTTTTATAAACTAAAAAAAAAGAAGAGACAAATATCCCGCCGAAGAGGGACTTCATTGTTTACAATTCAAACACAACCCTTAACGATGATAGATCCAGTGGACGCTCGAGCTCGTGCTGTATTCAAATTCTAGATTCACCTCTGACCTCGAGTAAGACGTTACCTTCTCTTGTTCTTACTTCCAAGCAACAAACTGAAGTAAAACAAAACCCTAAAGAAAAACCCCCATGCAATAGTAATCCACAAGCAACCCCACATACTTAACTCAGTAATCCCTTGTTGTACCAATATATCAGCTCCAGTAGTCACACAAGTAGATCCAGTAATCTTGACATTCAATGTATTACTCATTGTACTCAACAACTTCTCTTTCAAAGCAATTGGCACTGATCCAAGTGGTGAATTATCAAACATTTGAATTCCCTTAACAAAACATTTTGTTGGATCATCAAATTCATTTTGTAATACAGCTTCATATGGATACTTCACTAAGGAAAGATAGTGAAACCATATCCAATAAGGTGGGATTCGATCGCGATTCATAAAAAATCCAGAGAAGAGCAAGAAATAGGCAAGAATTGCCACAACAATTGTGTATCCTAGCATAACACTAGGTACAACTCCAGAAAGGAATGTGACAAATGAATTTCCAGCCCAAAAAGAGGCTAAAATTATCCCAAAATAGAACAAGAAACCAGAAAATCCACCATCAAGTCCAACTGCCCAAAAAGTTATAGCAGCAAATGCAAATGATAGGAAAATCAATGCTGGTAAAGAAACCAAAGCATGAGATAGACAATAAGAAGATCTCCTATATGCATTATAAGCTGTTTCCCTCATAAAAATGTACCTTTCTTGTAGAAAAACAGGCAATGCATCAGCACAAGTATAGAAAGTTGTTGACATTGCAAATGCAAAAAAACCAAGTCTTTCTTGAACACCTTTAGGTGAATTGTCAAGTTGCCAAAACATGGTAGCTAAGATGAACCCCGTGACAACGATTGCACCTAAACGAATGCCAAATAGCTCGGGCACCCTCCACGAATTAGTAAACGATCTCTTGGACAACGTAGTCATTTCGATCCAAAAGGGATTCGCGTATGTAGGAACCATTGAAGCAGGGGAAGTGTGATCACTTGTTGTTCCTGAAACCAATTTACCTCTTGAAATGCTTGCACTTATTGCTTCCTTCAATGATAATCCATGTGTTGGAGTTACTATTTCACAATTTTGATTGCTCTGCCTTTTTGTATTTTGCCATGTTTTATTGAACTCAACCAAACTTTTTGTCCCTCCTGGGGATCCTTCTAGCTCACGAATTAAATCCAGGGCGAACTCTGTCCGATTTTCATTATCTGGTATCGGATGACCAAAATCAGCAAAGAAATGTGGAAGATTCATAGGGGATCCACTATAAACAGTTTGTCCACGGGACAAGAAAAGCATACGATCCAATAAACTAAGAATTCTATAACTTGGCTGATGAATTGACATGATCACAATACTTCCACTTTGAGCAATTCTTTGAAGAACTTTCACTACCATGTATGCACTAGTGGAATCAAGTCCTGAAGTTGGTTCATCGAGAAACAAGATGATGGGGTCATGAATAATATC